CAAAAACATGACGATTTCAGCAACAAAATTACTGTACAACCGAAAAGCTGTTCATCAGCAAAACAAGCATTTATTTCTAGTCTGTATAAAAAAAAAAGGAATTTGGTTTGAAAACCAAAATCTACAAATAATGTAATTATAAGTTGACATAAAAGATACAATTCATCTTACCAACATTTTTGTGTACAAAAGTTACAGTACCCTTGTCATTTATAATGGAACTATATTTAAGTCCATCAGAAAAAAAAAATCTGAGAGGATAATTACCTGAGACATTACCTGGTTATCTGTTTAGATGTATCTAAAGCTGACAATTGGGTACATTTTCTCCAAGAAATTGTAATACAAAACTTAATTTGTAGCCCAGCATTCTACAGACTTTATAATTTAAGCCTCTATACCTTTAAGTTACAGAGATGACATCAAAATATTCAGTTGACCTTTGTGGAGTTGAAAGTGAATTAATCAATGTCATTAATATGAACAAACATAGAAGTTCATCATGACAGCAGCCTGCAATATGCTCAGAATTAGTAATCTGGGCCTTTTGGTTATTGAAAAGTAGTTAATGTAAATTACTTTACACATACGTACTACATGATGACAAATGAAAAACAACTGCAATAAGTCACCTTAGTGACTCATCAGGTGATTTAAAATGTTCAGTCAGTAATGAATGACTATGAACAAGGCAAAAATTGTTTCATATGTTGGAATAAAATGATTCAAATAACAATAGAGAAAAAGATCATCGTCTTTATGTATTAATGACCTGTAAATACCAACCCAGTTAATAATTGTGATAGATTCAAATGAAGCTACTACTATTTCTGATCTCCAATGCATTAGATAATATCACAATGACACGCAAAATGAATAAATATGTTATGGAAAATTATATTGTTCAAAATTTTTCAATATATAGTAATCGTATTGATATCAAAATAATAGAACTAATTGTGGATGCTTTTAAAATAGCGATTTGAAAGATCGAGGCATTATTTACGCAGAAAATTGCCGCTAGAGGGCTCTAACTCTTTTCAATATTTCAGCCAATGAGAAGGCCAGGATCGGTAAATTTTGTCTGAAAGGCCGTCGCAATAGGCTATACATACGTCCCTGGTTTAGCCGAAAAACAAATAAAATTTATATATGGTGAATATTGTAAATAGGTATTTTTTACCAAAATCACCAAGAGTTTTCTATGACAGGAAATAACACTTTAAAATATCCCCTTTCTCTCTTGCAAATTAAATGCCAGTCTGTTATTGACATTTTTTTAAAATCATTATTATTACCTTCTTGATAAAAATGACGTACTTTAAAATGATGATTTGCTGGTTGGCCTAATACTTACATTTACCACTGGAAACGGATCCACATCCTTCTGTCGTGGTGTGCTTTCTAAACTTTGCATCTGTCTCGAAAAAGCTTGGGTTGTTAGACAAACTGTTTTCCTACTATATAAGCTTTCCACCGACAACGATGTAGATAGCAAGTGTGATAACTCTGTAAGACACGTCTGACGCGGAAGAGTTACACCGTGTGCTTGTGACTTCAAGCAATCTTTACTTAGCCTAAAATCGGAAGGCGTTGGTAACGATATTTCTCTGATCAAAAACAATTTCAGTAAAATACATACGCTTGTAACACTCATTTGAAGGTTATGAGTGAAAAAAAAAATATTTAAACGAGTAGAAGACCTATGTAGCTATAAGTACAGTATAAGACACATAGTTCGAAAATAAGTAGGGTTATTCACACCATCTTATGTATTTATGCATAAAACATCAATGTTATCGCAGTGTAAATTTACACCGTTGAAAAGATGACCAATAAAGGTTACACTATAAAGCAACATTAAAACACAGAGAAGAAATAATGTATTTTACACTACAATTTTCGTTTGATGCGACATCGTTATTGTTGTAAAGTTTTACCAAAGTCTGTGAGAATTAAGTATAGCTTTACCCGAAAAATTAGGAGGTGTAAATTTACACCACCTACAGCATTGTTGATCAAGGCTACACCTAAAATCCGCTTTACTTACACTGAATACGTCGTTATATTACGCAGTTCAGAAATTAGTGTCATTTTACACCAACTCTAGTACAATGTTATACAACACCGTTATTGGTGTGACGTCTCACAAAATCTGGTGTTAATAGTGTAACTTCACACAGATTTTTTACAGTGTTCCGCAGAGAATTGAAGAACAGTGGTGGTTAGCGCAGAATGCTGCTGCGATTTTTTCATCATCTATTGAGCCATCAGTGTAGATCTGCACATGATCAGGGAAATCGCAATGCACTCCTGAAAGGAGGATTTGTGTTCTTCGGGTAATAAATCGGACTTTGCCTTCTCACATAGAGCAAAATTGATATCGGGTGTTTTGAAAAGCCAAGGCGGAATATGGAATATGCTTTACACGGTTATGTTGTTTAGACTTATGTTAAGTTCTGTAAATGGTTTGAGGTTCTAATGCCAAACAATGAGAAGAGCTTTTGATTGTAAGTGAAAATGTTTCGGTATTGTTGGTTGAAGACAAGATTGAAAATCGGGGTTTTTTAGGTTGTTCACCCATTGTATAGCCATTTTTCAGAGATGACTGATTTCTTTCAAGGCTATATCGGTACACACTTGCAAAAGATTATTGGGAAACCAGAGACAACAGAGTATTGAACATTGATGGTCTTCAATATTTCGTACCATTTTGACACATTATCAGTTTATACCTTATATACTCAATAAATAAGGAACGCCGTTTTCACACAAATTCATTTATCTAGTCCAAAGTACAAATTATTGAATCAATTATTTTACCTTGGTCTAATTGACTTGAACCAAGGTCTAATTGACTTCTACCTAGGTTTCATTCAATTACATCTGGGTTCAATTGAATGGAATTAAACGTAGGTCTAATACGATTAAACCTAGGGTCAATTCAATCATACCTAGGTTGAATTAGATCAAGGTTCAATTATTTGTATCTAAGTTTGAATAATTGAATATATGTTAAAACGGCGTTACATAAATAAAGACACGTACCGGCGGAATGTATTGTACAAACATTTTTGATTCCCTATGAAACAACGAATGTATATATTACCGCCACTGCAGCCATACGTGTATTAGGTATTGTGTTGCGAACAAGGAAATGTGGTAGTGAGAATAGGTAGTAATAAAGAGTCGTATCGAGAACTATTGACCAACCCGTCTTTTTTAATACATATTTAACATGTAATGCTAGATATATATATATAAATAGGCTGATTAAATAATTCAAGGCCTGGATACGAAGGATGACATTTTGAAATAAATCTTATGTAAAGTGACTTGTTTGTATTTTATCACTGATAATTCAAGAAAAAGATAACTACCTCACAATCATGGTAAATAACATGAGACATACAACACCTATCAAAAAGGCAAAGATATCCCGAATGGAAAATTACCCATGATTCCTAGACACAGGATTAACGGTGAAGTGATAAGTCGGTGATAGTATTATGAGGAATTTTCCATGTTAGGCCTCATTTATTCAAATTTACAACAAGATAATGAAAATATATTATATGTAATTGTGGGGAAATAAAAAAATCCCCACTATAGTGAACAATCCCCATAATGTTGATCTTATGACTGGTGTGAGTTCCCCACAACGTAGCTTTTGCTAACACAACACCCCCCCCCCCCCTCTCTCTCTCTCTCTCTCTCTCTCTCTCTCTCTCTCTCTCAAACTGAAAATAAAAAAATCCGCAGGGATCCCCCTCCTCCTCTTACCAAGAAATTAATGTTACATGGAAAATAATTTTGAAACCATAAAATCTAAAATATAGAATTACACGGTGGACTAACGAGTGCTCTTAAATACACCCATGATTGTAGGAGCGACTTCCTTACTATCGACATGACTTCCTCCCTCCAACGTCTCACTCACTCATTCTTGCTACATCTGCTTTCCTTGGTCTTTCTTCTATTCTTTTCATTGAAACTACAAATAAGTCTACATTCCTTGTTCTAATGGAATAATATTCTTTCCAGTTTTTCTGTTCTTGTCAATAACATGTTAAGCAAATCTTTATCCCTTATCTATAAATAAACAATATCGGATTCACAATAATGAAAAAAGTTTTTTGAAAAGGTTGAATGGCGTTTGCAGCTTCCAGTAATCAAAACAAACCAACATGTAATTACCTTAAAACAATCGCTAGACTGCAGAATCCATCGACGTCATCAGCCAGGACCACCTCTCACTGGACGTTTCGACTCCTATCCTGGGACGTCCTCAAGGTGGCGAGTCGACAGTGATTGGCCAAATCACTGCCCGTCGATGGATGGCTTTCAGCTCAAATCTTCTCTTCTCCACCAAAGCCAGCTGGACGACTTCTCTGCTGTTGTTGATAGTCGTTGAACAGCTGCCCTTCGGTCTCTTCCCTGGATGCCTAGTGTAGAAAACATCCTCCACATGGACTGTGCAGGGAACCCTCTGCACCCCATCTCTACTGGCAAGACCCACACACTCCATCCTTTTGCTCTCACGTCGTCTACAAGATCAGCGTACTTCCCTTTCTTCCGCTCATGAGCCTCTTGGTATCGATCCTCCCAGGGGACAGTTAGCTCAATCATTACCATTTTCTTGCCTTGCTGTGACCATAGCAGGATATCTGGACGAAGGTTGGTTTGGACGACCTCTGGGAAAACTAGTCTTTGTCCTAAGTCAACCCGCATCTCCCAACTGTTTGCTCCATCCAGTATCCCTCCTTGGTGCACTGCTTTCTTATTGGTTGTCTCTCCAGATCTTACAAAGTTGATGTACGGTTGATGTTTGGTACATTTCCTCTTTTTCTGCATTTCCTTCTCAAGGGTGTCTGCTAGCTCTCGCAATACCTTGTTGTGTCTCAATGTATATCTCCCCTGGGTCAGAGCGGTGTTGCACGATGACAATACATGGGCCAGGTTACCCGGTTGGTCACACAGTGGGCAGTTGGGGTTTTCCGTCATCCCCATCGGTGGAGATTGGTAGGTGTTGGTAGGACATCATACACTGATCGCAGGAGGAACTGGATTCTACATGGTTCCAACTTCCAGATATCTGCCCATGTAAGACGTCTTTCCGTTGTCTCCCATTTGGTCCATGCTCCCTGTGCTCCCATTTCTACAGCTTTAACCTTCCTGATCTCTTCCTCCATCTTCCTGATGTTATCTTGAACCATCTTCCTTCTACCAGCCGTGTCTGCTGTTCCCCACCTTTCCACCCGCGTTGACCCTAACCCCTGTTTGCCTATACAGGTAGTCCCAACGATGTCGCTGTGCCTTAGCCTGCTCTCTGCTTCCTGTACCGCACTGCTTGCTGACCACTTGCGTCCTGTTCGAGTCTCAATTCCAGCATTCCGGATCTTCTCATCTTTGGAGTATCTAACAGTCATCACCAGCCTAACCTTTGCCACCTTGAACTCTTCTACCAGCGATGATAATGGGAGCTGTAATTTGCCTGTGGTGCTGTAAAGGCCCACACTGGTGAAACTTGGGGGGACTCCAAGCCAACGTCGTAGACATTTGCTTATTTTCCTTTCCAGGATTTCCACTGTGGTAGTGGTAAACTCGTACAGGGTTAGAGGCCACGTGAGGCGTGGTAGGAGCCCGTGTTGGTACATCCACGATTTGAATTTACCGGGCAGTCCTGATTTGTCAATTCTCCTCAAACCTTCTTCCACCTGGTTCTGCAAACGTTTGATATTCTTGCTGTCGTTCAGGCTAGCATCAAACCACTTTCCTAAACACTTTATTGGATTGTCTACGATTGTTGGGATCTCCTCCTGCTGTATCGAGAGCTTGAACTTTCTGGTCACTTTCCCTTTCTTTATCACAACACATCGAGATTTCCTTGGTTTAAACTTCATCCTTGCCCATCCAACTGTTTCCTCGAGCGCCTGCACGTGGGTGGTAGTTGTTATGGTCAGGTCGTCCATGAACCCTCTTTTTGGTGGTACTCGCACTCCTGATGAAGTTTTGGGTCCTCTAGTCTCCCGGTCTGCCGCCTTGATGATCAGGTTCATCCCCATCACAAAGAGTATGACCGATTTAGTGCATCCTGTTACAATACCCTTCTCAAGTGCCTGCCAAGATGTTATCTCCCTGACCGTGAATCGGAGCCTGATGTTGCTGAAGTAGCTCTTCACTATCTTCTGGATGTGATCCGGGATGTGGTAATGTTCCAGCGCCTTGAAAATCAACTGGTGGGGGACAGAACCGTATGCATTGGCCAGGTCTAAACAAACAACTGTCAAGTCTCCTTGATTGATCTTGGCTTCCCGAATTAGCTGTGTGATTGCGCTGGTGTGTTCAATACATCCAGGGAATCCTGGAATTCCTCCTTTCTGCACAGAAGAATCGATGTACTCATTCGATGTCATGTACTTCGTCATCCTCCTGGCAAGTATGGCAAAGAAGATTTTCCCTTCGACACTCACGAGTGATATGGTTCTGAACTGGTTCATGGTCGCAGAGTTCTTCTCCTTCGGTACAAATATCCCTTCTGCCGTCTGCCAGCATTCCGGAATTTGCCCTTTCCTCCAAATCACCCTCAGAATCCTCCAGAGCCGTTTCAGAAGTTTTGGGCACATCTTGTATACTTTGTAAGGTATACCACTCGGTCCAGGTGCTGGTCCTGATCTTGCTTTCTTCACAATTTCAAATAGATATTGTAAGAGCGGTAATTGTTTAATAAATGTATTCAGGAACTATCTTAAATGTACTTACTGAATATAATTGATTTAGATGTCGAATGTAGATTCTTTGATTTTTTCGCTGATTTTTTTTTTCTCGTTCTATATAATTATGATAATTTCATACGTAATACACATAAACTTGTATTTGAAAGGAGCACCATTGCGTGATGGTGGGTATTGTCCAGTATCGGCCGAGAAGTCACAAGCAATCAATGCAATCACTAAGCTCGCATACTTGTGGAGTTTGTCCTTAAATCACCATAATGACCTTAAATGACCAGTTATTGATAAAAAGAATTAAGAGTTAATGTGCATTTGCGTGTCGTATTCCAAATCAAGATTTTCATGTGTCAGTAATATAGAGGTCATATCCCCTCCAACCCCCGTCCCCCCGCCCCCCACCTCCCTGAGAAAATGTCTGTCTGTACAAAGATTATTGCTTATATATCAAATACACACAAACAACAAAGACAATACCGATGTGTTAACGGAATCATAATCTAAAATTCGAATATACAGAGCAAATATCAACAAAAGTTAGTATACATGAAGAATCCTGAAAAAATTAGGAAAAAAATATTTTTAAGATAAAAACATGTTCCTGCGGAAGTGAGAGCGACCTTTGATTTCTAGAAGCTTACAAAAACAAGCGAGGGGAGACAACCACAACGCCTTTATATACTTTTCGATCGCCTATTAGTATTCTCTGGTTATTTCATAAGGTAGCATGTCAGTATTTCAGCTCTGATGGTTATCTAATATAAATCCGACGTGTATTTTTCTAGCTGTCCGTGCTCTTTACACAGGCTCGTCCATATGAGGCGTTCGTTTGTGATACGGTAATTACCCGGAAATCCATTAGCCGACTTTTGTGGTTAAAATTGTTTAAAATTCCATCCTTGTTAATTATTTTTTTATTTTCTTTTCTGTCGGGGAACAATTTACGATGGAATATATTATGTCAAATTATAGTATTGATCAGCGATCAATCTCCATGCGAGTCTTGAGTCGTGTACTCGTAGAATTTTGATGGGACTCGTAGAATCTCCGAGTCAAAAATGGTTTAGCAATAAAGTTAAAGTTAGGACTCGTGGAAACTAATTGTAGATTGGTCAATGAACGATACAACATCTTATAGAGTAATTTTGCTTTTGGAACGTTTTACAGTATAAGATAGTAACACGTCTAATTGCTATTGACACCATGGTTTCCCAACATTTTGTACACATTTATGGAATATGACGGCGAAATGTTAAATTCGTGATTGAGTTATCAGATGTAAAGTCAAAGACACCATCAACGGCAACAGCTTGCCGCTTTAGAATTTTCTCTACGGTTATCTAGTATTAGTGACTATACTTTTGCACTCCGTTTAACTAGTTACTTCGTAAGTTTGTACCTGAAACATTTGTATAAAGAGATGACCAAGTATGTTCTTTATGCAACGGGACATTTACTTCCTAACTTGAAATTGAGGAGTTTAGCCATCATTGGGTTTGGGTCATAAAACACTTCAATTGACACGATTTTCAAATTCTCATTGACGACAGCAACACAACTTCCGGTCAATTCCAAGGTCTCTCCCGTGGGTTTGGAATCCTTGTAATTTGCTTCCCATTTCCCCCAGTGTCTCCAAGTAAAGGATACTTTTGGTGGTCCTGTGAAGAATAATAAAAAGCATTCCTTAATCTTTAAGTAAATCGCTTAACCAGAATTTGATTGGATATCCTAGCTTATACTTAATCACCATTACAGAAAATAAATTGTGGTGGCTGCATACGGCCTTCCTTCACTCGAGTCGAGTTTATCATTTTTCCAAAAAGTAAAAGAAACATGGGCTCCAACGTGTGCTTTTGTAACTTTTAAAAATATAACTAACAAGATTGGGGAAATAGACCATATACAACCATATGTTTGTGTGACTTGTTTTTACCACTGTAAAAGATCTATGTACTGTACCCAGGTGTGTTTTGTTTACATATCAATTGGGACGTAATGATATCGCCTGCAGTAAATTGCAGTACTATTTATAAAACTAAAGATTTCTGTAAAAAAAGGAAACATAATTTAATAAAAGTAAAAAGCAATGAAGAATTTATTATCTTCAATTCAATAAATTGATTAAAAAAAATCCGCATGGAAATCAAATTTTAAGAAAAAGATTGTGAAATTCTTATTCCACAAGTGAGTTTAACGTCAAGTTCAAACTTCAAAGTGGCAGCCAATACAAATACAGGTTTAGAACATCCGTCACGAGATGTATTCTGAGGTTTCCAAAATATACCTGAAAAAGTTTCTAAAACCTCCCACGCAAATCCATTCGGCATGGCATGACGGAACAGTTTGTGTGATGATTCATTGGTCTCTTCCTGTGCTTGATAAAGGGGTGAATCCCACATCAAGATATTGTAGTTCCCCTTTTCAATGTTGTCCTTCAATGTAAATCGATTACCTCCGTTCGTGTTGATTGTGAATGTCTCCTTCACAACGGATTGCCAATCCTTTTGAATTTAAAAGTATAGTATTTACAACACTAGATGAAGGGGCGATACTGCTAAAACGATCATGCTGTGACTCTTTAATTTAGTCTTTACAATGTTAAGTTGGCAATTCAGTATTTTCTAATTAATGTCAAAGGTTTTTATGGTATCAAATGTTAGAATTTTTCCTCACGAGTTCGTCCCCGTCCTACATTTTAAGCAAATGAGGGTAATTAAAATGACAATGAACTATAAGCTCATTCGAAAAACCAGTGAGAATGTGGAAAAAATATTAATATAGGTGTAATAATAATATTCCACTTGCGTTGTAAGTAAAAATCTTTTAAAGAAAAGTGTGATGTTTCAATTTCTATGTTTTTTTTCACCTGTAGGAGAAACACCCACTGACCTCTTTTTTTTACATACCGCAGTTTATACGATATCACTTTTTGTGTGCATGATGTCGGCGTGACCAACAAGCTCAAAACTCACCTGTAGGAGAAACACCCACTGACCTCTTTTTTTTACATACCGCAGTTTATATGATATCACTTTTTTGTGTGCATGATGTCGGCGAGACCAACAAACTAACAACTCACCTGTAGGAGAAACACCCACTGACCTCTTTTTTTACATACCGCTGTGTGCATGATGTCGGCGTGACCAACAAACTCACAACAGATGGTTTCGAGAGCTTTTACAATCGTCATAATATTCTCATGGGGAAATATTTGATTACTTTATGCGATGCAAAATTGAAAATATTTGATTTTTGATTAGTAAACCTTTTTTTACCGTTGTTGTCATCGTTCTCATTTGGGAACGGCACATGCCTGGATTGATCAGAATCTTATTCTCCTTTGTAAGGAGCGTCTGTGTAAATCTTGTTAATTATATTCTCTTTATTTCTGATTACATTCTCGAACAATAATGTGTCTTACCTCTTCTCGTGCTTTGTGGGACGATTCCATTTCCCAAGTTTTGACAAGGTTTTCAACCAGTTTCTCCAACGAATCGACAGGATGCTTTCTCGATCTTTCCTCAAGATATTTCTTATTCACTGCAGTATAATCTGGCTTTCCGTGTATCCACTGTATGTTTGGATCATCCATGTATTTACGTACTGGACAATCGGATGCCATTGGAAATGCTTCAGGATAAGATGTGATGACCGGTTGACTAAATTGTCTTTACCTTAACCAGGGACGTATATATCAACGGGATACGAAGCTCACGTATAGGATGAGTATCGGATAACAAGATCCAGAGAACGGCGAGATTTTACGAGATTGACGAGAAACGCTATAGCCTACCAAGCTGACCGCCAACATCTCACTAAAAAAACGCCTTATAATTGTAAGTATCGATTTATTCTTGTGACAAATCTTATGTTCTCAAATTGAAATATTATTGAAATTATCAGAGATATACTTGATAGGCAACTTCGATAAGGAAGTTAACAACAGAATACTCTTGATGTGTACGGAAGTTCGATCAAGGGTCATTAGGTGCGCGCCATATTGATTTTTGCCAAATTCGGTCTTTTCATCAGTCGATTAATGCCCACATTACTGTTCCTAATTCCTCTTTTGCTTACTAAATAACTGTTTTTTTATTTCCATGTTCGCATGTTTCAATTTCATGTTTTTCGTGCCCCTGAATTGCATTCATTAATCATGCATGACAATCGATTTAAGGGGCAATATTGTGCAATATTACCGATGACTAAGATCTATTGTTTTGAATAAGGGATCAGGCAGTGCATCTACTGCTCATATCAAATCAAAAAAACATTTCACAGTGTAAAGCAGCAGTGTTTACACAATAACTGCAGGTTTGGTGGTAATTGATTCAGAAATAATTGTTTTGTAGCAATTTGAAAATTGGAAAAAAATTCATAATTAGGCATTATATATAGGTGATATATACGTCCCTGCCTTAAACAGGCTCATCTGACTGCGCATCATGAAAAGTGTATGTATTCATGTCACGTTATGTTAAAAAGTCCCTGATGCGCATGTGGTTGTTACTGCTAAAGTTAATGTTGTTGCGTTTCTGCATTTTTTTCTCTTTTCTTTTTATTTGGCAAGTTACATGATGTCAAACAAATGAAAACAAGGCCTGAATCTGGGAAAAATAGAAAAGAGTAAATTATCTGTAGTTATGTTATACAATATTGTGTGGACAAAAGAAACTAAAAATATCAAACTTTTTGTATATTATTGTGAACGTTTCAACAGCTTAACGTGTCTTTAAATGATTCTCTGGTATGTGTAAATATTGGGCGGGTTTCCATCACGCAGGAACTTTATACCAGCCCTAACCTGTTAATTACTCTTAACTTCTTATAAGGTTTGTGCAATAGGCACACACGTGAACAACACCTTTTATTGTTGTGGTTATGCAAAACGCACCAAAAGATTCGCACGTAATGCATATATTTCGTCCATTAAAGACATTCATGGAAAATTGTCCACTTTTCTCGATCATTAGCGTAAATATCGAGACATTGGTATAGGTCTTCAATATAATGGATTGTCAAGATACATTTTTCCTTTTTGACAAAGTGAACAATGACACAGATACCATTGCATTACTTCAGGAGAACATGACTTTGTAGATCGGTGTTTCCGAAATAACGAAATTGACTATCACATCTGAACACAAACCCGAAAAGAAAATATACACTTCTGTGACAACTAGATATCAAAGGTGCATATTCACTCTAGCTGCACTTGTGAAATTACGATTGCATATAAGCTAATATATCATAGTTATGTAATGCTGACTTATTTTAACTAGTGACATCACATGGCAATTGTAATAAGCTTGTTTCATATCGATTGAAGTTACTTAAACGCTAGCGGTGTACACAAACTCTGAAGTTACAGTATAATGCATTTTTTAAAAAGTTAACATGTATACATGAAAATGCCAATGTGTACATACTGGCATGCAATAGCCATTAATATTAGAGGAAATTTAAAATTATGCATAAAGAACATATAAACCTTAAGCACAAATAGTTTTATGAAATATTATGTAAAAAATATTTTGATGGCAATGATTGCTGCTGTTGTATGTAAAATTAATTGTAAAAATGTGTTTACACCAGTGGGACTAGAGAGAAAAGATCCATCTAACAGACACTACATCTTACAGGTAATACCTTTGATAAAATTTTACAAAGAACGTTTCATTTATGCTTCTTCAAGGCTTCTAGTTGCAACTATACGAAAATGATGAAAACATTTGTTCTTTGATTTTAATATTAATTTGTAATGATATGCATTCCCGATTATCTGAAATGATATGATTTTGGTACAAACTGCATATAGCCAAAAAAAGCATGGAACATATCCTGTATACAAATTTAAGTACTACATCATACTAATATGGGTCAAATATTTTGCTGCCCAAAGTAAAACTCTGAGTCGGTATGTAGCAAATAGAAATGCAAGGTAACCGAATTTTACACAAAGGTTGTAACAGCTTGAATAATAATGGTGAGCAAACAGCAACCGTAAACAAACCTCTTATGAATTCCAGAAGGTTGAAAAGTGATGGTAAAGAAACCTAAATTCTAGCAGCTAGAACTGCCAACTGTTGACGTTAGACGGTTATTGGTGTATCAAATACTTGGAGTTAACTCCAACAGATTGAATAGTAATGCTTACAAATCGGGAATCGAAAGGCATCCTTGTCGTCGGAGGTTTGTCTTAGCATCTTTTGTTGGTAGCGGAGTAACTATTGTACGTATTCAAATATTTTCCGTTTCCTAACAATTCTTGTTAATAATCCAAAAGCATTTTCCATTTTTAATTGTAAGCCATCAAGTGTAAATAGATATACATATCTTAAGTAGCATTTTCGTTTTTTCTTGGGATTTAGAATTGTGCCTGCTTTAATCATTGCATGATTGTAAGAGGCGGATCTCATCCAGATCTATGCTCGGATCTTTCAAGTTGTAAAAACGACAAACAAGTTAATAGTTCGTTATTCCAATATACGTGTAGGTCTCGAGATAGAACGTCGGTTAAAAAAATGATTTTACAAAATATTAAAAACAGGAATTGTGTGGAATAAATAATTAATTTGGTGTCTAGCGTTTGTTGATGAACATAGCAGAGCGTGAATTTATCTTAGTGAATAAATTTGAGATTAAACCCGACACTGCTAAAGTTGTTGACATAATTGATGAAGATGTAAGATAACCTATGCAATATTAAAATAGTAAGTAAAAAAAAGGAATTTTACATGGGTGAGTCAGTTCTGGCAAGTCAGTTCCTTAAACGAGAGTACGTCTGTCTGTCCGTCTTTACGTGTGCTGCAACAGTCCGCATAAGAATAGTAAGTATGCGGTATATGAGTGGTTTGTGTGGGTGGGCGCATGTATGATCAGGTGTGACTTCGGGCATAAGCTGTATATGTAACCACACCATTTATTCACGAACGTGATATTTTGTGTGTTCCATATCGTACGCGGTGACTATATGTTACCGTGAAGTCGGTCAGAGGTTTTTTCTGCGTGTTTTCAAAATTAATAATTTCAATAAGTGTTATTATTATTACTCTAAATGTTTCCAGACGCGTGCTAATGCCCGCTGAATATGTGTGCGTGCTATGGTGTGTGTGTGAGTGTAGATATTTTTCATTTAGTTAAATTAACCCTTAGTTGCTCAGTATACCTATCTTGTTAAAACACCGTTTCGTGCAGACAGATTTTTTTTCCAAGTTCGACCTTGGGTATTTAACAATTGTGTACAAGCCTCAAGTTATAGTTATAGTAGTATAGTATCATTGGGGTTTTCCCTGAACACCAACTGTGCATAGGACAACATGTTTACATAGGAGGTCAGTTGTGATGATAGTGAGTTATAGTCTGGTGCAGAATTGTTGTACAGGTAACTTGTACAGGTAAATCAGATAATCAAGGTCTGATAACTGTTCAGAAAACGGTTAATAACTGTAAAATAAAGGAATAAAATATATGTGTCAAAACTGTTCCAATCCCAAGCTGTTCAATGGGAAATGTGTAAAAGCCCAGTACATTTTGGAAAATTATCATATTTCAGTCTGCACTTTGAAGCATCAATTCCTCATTGCTTTATTACTTATTTTTTGTCACACATATATTAGTTAATCTTGTACTTTTTCAGTTAAGTGTAAATTATCATAACTTTTGTCATATATATTACTTAATCTTGCACTTTTCAGCTTAGTGCTAAAGTGTTTAATTTGAGGGATATTATTATCTGTGTGGATTGATACATGGATCAACGTTAAGTTCATTGCCAACAGAAGAGGCAGACAGAACCTTTCGCATAATGGATTCATCTACAGACAGATTCGAAGAAACGGCAACAGGACATTCTGGGGATGTTCGACCACAGGCTGTTCAGCATCTCTCTCGACAGTAGACAAATACACAACCACGCCTCAGGCCCAGCCAATGTTGTAGCCATACAGATCTTGAACCAGATCACCAACAAATGCGTAGAATCTGTCCAACCCATTTCGTCCATCTCTGAGGAGGACTGGGATGACACTTCCAAAGCCGTGGTCCAGCGACTGCCAACATTCTACACAGCCAAATCGTCTACTGTCTATCTCCACCGTGCTCGAGGCAAGCAGACTCCTCCACTACCAAAGGCTTTAGCCGACATCACCTTGGATAGAAGATGGACAGAAACATCTACAGGCGAACCATTTCTCCTCTTTGACGACGGTGAACAGAACAACAGGATGATCGCATTCGCTACATCAGAGAACCTTTCCCATCTAACACATTCTACTGTGATGGCACATTCTACACCTGTCCAACTATGTTTCACCAGATTTACAGCATCCATGTACAGATTGAAGGCATCATGGTACCATTCAACCCCTGAAGAAGAAATACGCCACCTTGAAGGACTGTTATCAGACTGGGATGATCGACCTGATGACCTAAGCTGATTCAGCATCCGATCTTCTCCATCTTGGATAGAGTGTTTTGTGTTTTCTAGTAGAGACTTATCAAGTACTTGACTATCAAAGGTTGCAAAAGGACATAATATCTAGATAAGTGATCATGTATTGTCATAGATAAACGAGTCATTGCTAATTCAGCATCATTTAGGGGTTTACTGTTTATTTTAAA